GAGATGCTTCCAAAGGTAGTCAGTGCATACAATAACAGCGTGCACTTAGCCACATGTCGCACTCCCAACGAACTGCATAAGTCCTTTAGACCGCGGAGACCATTTGAAGGACTTAACCGGGATCAGATTCAGAGGTTACCGCCCGGTACATGAGAGTTCGCAATACAGCACGAGAAAGAGATAGCTACTGTTGTTGATAACCTCAGGAAAGCCCAACACAGAATGATAGAGCAGGGTAATAAGCACCGTCGCCCCTCACAGTTTCAAGTAGGCGACTTAGTCTGGGTCAAGTCAAAAGAGTTCGCTCCTGAGGAGAACATCTCACAAAAGTTACTGCCTGCGTATAGAGGACCGTGGCCAGTCTTAGAAGTCAAGGGCGGAGAAGATGGACCATCCTATACTATTGAGATCCCAGCACACCTCCACACCTACCCAGTGTTCCATGCATCAAAGCTGTTGCCGTGTGTCACAAGTCAACAGTTTCCATCACGGAGATTCATGATTCCTCCGGATATGGACGGAAGATACGACATTGATGGTATAGCAGGTGAGGATGTCTTCAGGACAGGAGGTAGAGGTTGTCCACAGAAACAGTACAAAGTCAGATTTTCCTTTCAAGAGCCAGAAGACGACCGCTGGTTCACGCCAACAGAACTTCTAGAGACAGCTCCCGACATAGTCAGAGCTTATGAAAGAGACAGGAAAGGTAAAGGTCCTGCCTTAGACTGAAGTATTCTCGGAGGACCTCAAATTTAGGCCGGCATGAGTGAAACGGTTTTCACCTTTTTGCAGTCACAGATGCAGGCCCTAGAGTTTGATCCCCAGACCTCACCTTACCCATGTACAGTATCGAGTTGACCCCCGAGTGTTTGAACCCTGTGTTTCGGTCGTTGGTCGTTTGTCTGTCGTAGGTCTGTGTAGATGTAGGGGTTCGATCTGTAGGTCTGTCAAGTAGGGGTCATATCTGTGTAGAGGTCGAAACTGCTAGGCTAGAGGTCTGTAGGTGAGTCACAGGTCCAACTGCGTTGAGTCGACAGTGCAACCTCATGCAGTCAGAGTTACTGGTCCCAGTCCTACCGAGTCCGGTCAAGCAAGTACCGTGTGGGACTGTGCACACCCAGGGCCTGGTGGAAAGGGGGCAGACCAGCGGCAAACAGAAGTATAAATCAAGAACAGCGCCCAGCAATTCATTCATTCGCTGCGTAAGCCATGCGGAAGCGCTGCTACAGCGTCTTGTGCGAAGGTGGTCTGCAGGTTGCCCGAAGTCGAAGTGGGCTGAAGAGCGAAAGCGTAGCCATAGGCAGTAGAGGTAGAGCGGCCATAGCCGCGATAGGAAGGAGATAGGCTTAGCGTGTGTGTGTGGTGGTATTCAGGGTGATCCAGAGTTGAGCATGTGCGAAGGGAGTGATTTTGCATCTGAACTGTGTTCTCGTTTCCATATCTCTGAGCTTTGAGTGGGCGCGAAGCACCAGTGTGAATCGCCATCTGTTTGCGTGTATGTAAAGTGGAAAAGAAAGCGAGTCTGATTGCAACGTGATCACTATGCACTCATTGACTGGCCTCTACAACGCCATGGACTTCAAAAAAAAAAAAAAAAAAAAAAAAACAGAAAACAATGCATTCAAGCCAGCTGGACGGCCTGCCTCCTCGAGGCCAGGAGGTCCACAGCCTGGTTTGTAGGAAAGAACAGCAGCTCCCCACTAATAGATGGAGCCTCTGACTGGGAGTTACTTACAGGGGATGCTCCCATCACCTCAGGAAGTAGTAACCACTCGTGGAGGATTGTCTCAAAAAGTAGAAAAAAAAAAAAAGAAAAGAAGAGGAAAGAGCAGGCTAGACTCTTGAGCTTTTGGCCAGGATAGACTCTTGAGCTTTGGCCAAATGCTCAAGAGTCTAGCCTGTTCTTTTCTGCAAACCAGGCAGTGGACCTCCTTGCCTCAAGGAGGCAGGGCGTCCAGCTGGCTTCAATGCATTGTAATGGACGGCACAGTTTTGTTTTTTTTCCTCAAAACCAACACCCCCCTTCTATTTGAAGGGGGCAACAGTCCGGTTACTTATCACCAACAAGCAGAGTTCAAGTTCACAAACGAGAAGAATAAAGAAAGGCCTAATTTCCCTGTGGCCCGGGGCACTCTACGGGGGGGGGCTGGGAGAGCAGGGGCGTGGGAGCCAGGGATGTCGAGCCCCAACCCCGGGGCCCCGGCGGGGATGCGGAGGTCCGGGGGTGGGCACCCCCGACCCCGGCTCTGGAACCCCCCCAGAAAAAAAATAAAAATAAAAAAATAGTGAGGGGTGTGCAGCGAGAGCGCACACCCCGTGGGCTAAACCCCAAAAATGGGGTTTTGTGCCCCAACCCAGACCCTCCCCGGGGCCACACCCATCAGTGGTGGGACTGGGGTAGCAGGGATTGCGGGGGTGCGGGCGGGGGCGGAGG